CAGTACTGACCTATGTGGGCCCTCAAAACTTACAGCATGATGAGGGACTTTCAGGAGTAATAAAAAGCTGCTATGTCCTGAGAGAGTTTGATTTCTGGGTCAATATGGATCTCAAGCAGCTATTAGTATAACTATCCTCAAATGAATTCAACAACACATGAACATCTCAGGGAGGTGGGAAATGTCAAAGAGGTACAAGGAAAAACAAAACAACCTGGGACTAGTTTAGAATTGTAAATAACACTTGCAGATGTAAAATAGGCACTGGTGATCTTTTTTATTTGTGGTGACTAAGGGCCCTACTGGAGCTTCCATTAGTTTCTACACTACCAGTAAACCTGTCTTTCTCTCTCTTTTTTATGATTAGATAAATATATATTTGGATAGGTTTATACAGCATGAAGGAATGTAGCAGCTAATTAGTCCACACAGCAGAACAGAGGACTCAGTTCAACTCACTTCCATGGAACAGTAAATGTACTGGAAGTCCTTCAACTCACAAGGGCTGCCAGGTCCCAGATCAAGGAGGCAGACAGCTGAGTCTTCCCTTGAGCAATGCAGGCAGAATCTGCCCACAGGCAGCAAGCAGCAGGGTGAGTCACCAACAGTCGGCATCTCAGGAGCTTAGCAAAGCAGGTCTGGAAGGGATATGGAACTCAAGCAATGCAAGACAACAGGATCCACCAGCCTCAAACTCAAGTGATGTACACACCAGCAGTGTGGCGAAGCAGGTCTCAAAGGAACCTCAAGTTCTAGTGACATGATCCACAGGTTGAGTGTACCACAGGTAGTGTAGCGCACAAGTTGAGGCAGAGAACTAACTAAATCCGCCTCACACTGGTCTGATCGCCAGAGAGCAAGTGAGAAGGGTGGGCCTTGCCGAGCCATTTATCTTTTTGCCCTCCAATCAAACTGCAACCTGATTAATCCCACATGTTCCTATTGGCCAGGTTGGCACAATAAACGTACCTATCACAGGCCCCAAGGAAATGGCTCCGGTGCACAAGGGACCCCCGATCCCCACTCTTTGAATTCAGGGCCCAGAGTGTACAAAGATCCACACCTGGGGGAGGTAGAAGGGTTATACTCTCACCCATGGCCTCGGGGCGCTGTGCTCCCTCTCTCACAGGGCACAGGCCCTCACTGAGCCTTCAGCTGATTTCCTGCTGACTTGTGGGTGGGCCCAGCCTCGGAGGCGCTTTTGTTCAGCTAGGGTCACAGCTATCTGAATCGGGTTGTTCACAGGCCCCGGTTTGAAGATTCTTTTTTTTTTTGTTTTTAATCACTTTATTAGGGGCTCATACAACTCTTATCACAATCCATACATACATCAATTGTGTAAAGCACACTGTACATTCATTGCCCTCATCATTCTCAAAACATCCGCTCTGTGCTTAAGCTGAAAACCTAATGGGCAGCCTTGAAACATTGTCAGATACTGAATATCAATGGGTAGCATTGAAACACTGTCAGATGCTGAAAACCCCAGGACAGCATTGAAACACTGTCAGATACTGAAAACCTCATGAACTAGGACGTTACCAGAGTATGTCAGAAGATGAACCTTTTTACATCGGAAGGCACTCAAAATATGACCGAGAAAGAGCTGCCCTCTCAAAGTAGAGCCGACCTTAATGACGTGGATGGAGTATAAAGCCTTCAGGATCTTCCTTTGCTGATGGGACATGACACAGAATGAGAAGAAATAGCTGCATGTATCTATTAAAATGGAAGTTGAAATGCATGAAATACAAATCTATGAAAATTGAAAGTCATAAAAAATGCAATGAAACACATAAAGATAATTGAAATGGACTGGTATTGGCCATTTTGAATCAAAATCACATGGTTTACTATGCCAAGAGTGACATATTCAAGTCAATATAACTATTACTCAAATTTGCATACCAACCAGGAAAGCTATTGATGAAGGAAGTGAAGAAATCTACCAGTCTTCAGTGTGAAATTGATCAAATGTGCAAACCAGGATGCGCTGATAATTATTGGCAACTGGAATGCCAAAGTTATAAACAAAGCAGAAGGAACAGTAGTTAGAAAATATGCCCATGGCGAGAGAAACAAAACCAGAGATGGCATGATAGAATTTTGCAAGACAAATGACTTCTTCGTGGCAAATACCTTTTTTCAACAACACAAATGATGATTATACATGTCCACCTCTCCCGATGGATACACAGAAATAAAGCGGACTGCAGCTGTGGGAAGAGACGGTGGAACTGTCGGATGACTTCAAGAACATCATACATAAGGAAAACGAAAGGTCATTCAAAGACAAGAAATAAAGAATAGGTCAAAGTGGATATCAGAAGAGACTCTAAGACTTGCTCTTAATCATAGAGTAGCCAGGGCAAATGGAAGAAATGATGAGCAGAACTGAACTGCAAACTCCAAAGGGCAGCTTGAGAAGACAAAGTAAACATGTGTATAATGATATGTGCAAAGAGCCGGAGTTGGAAAAACAAAAAGGAAGAACATGTTTAGCATATTTTAAATGGAAAGATTTAAAGAAAAAATTCAAGCTTCGAGTTCCAATATTGAAAGATTCTATGGGGAAAATATCGAAAGCTGCAGGAAGCAGCAAAAGAAGACAGAAAGATTACACATAGAGTCACTGGTACCAAAAGAACTAGTAACATGCAACCATTTCAAGAGGTAACATATGACCAAGAACCAATGGCACTGGAGGAAGAAATCCAAGCTGCACTGAAAGCACTAGCCATAAAGAAGGCTCTAGGAATTGAAACATTTCAGCAAACCAATGAAACACTGAAATACTTACTTGTCTATGTCAAGAAATTTGAAGGTTAGCTACTTGGCCAACTGACTGGAAGAGATCCATATTTGTACCCAGAAAGGGGATCCAACAGGATGCACAAATTATGAAACAATATCATTAATAGCAGCTAGAAGTGACATTTTGCTAAAGATCATCCAAGCATGGTTGCAGCAACACATTGACAGGAAGCTGCCAGAGGTTTCGGCTAGATTCAGAAGAGGCTGTGGAACAAGGAATATCATTGGCTGAAAGCAGAGAATACCAGAAAGATGTCTACTTGTGTTGTGCTGACTGCCAAGGCATCCGGCTGTGTGGACCATAACAAACTATGAGAAGAATGCGATTCCCAGAGCACCTCATTCTGCTCCTGTGGAACTTGTACAGGGATCAAGCGGCAGTTGTGTGGCCAGAATAAGGGATACTACATGGTTTGAAATCAGGAAAGGTGGGTGCTAGGGTTGTATCCTCTCACTACCCTTGTTCAAACTGTATGCTGAGCAAATAAAGAAGCTAGCTTATATGAAGAAGAAGAATGTGACCTCTGGATTGGAGGAAGGTTTATTAACCTGTGATAGGCAGATGACACAACCTTGCTTGCTGAAAGTGAGGAGGACTTATAACCCTTACTAACAAATGTCATGAGCGGCGCGATCAATAATTACTTAATGCTCTTAGACATTTTCGAATGCTCGGTTTATTCATTGCAAACACACATCAAACAACCTAAAAATAACTCAAACTACTAAGGATAAAAGTATTGGGGCAAGTATGAGCATAGGGGCATAATAACAGCACTCTCACACATATCATTCTAGCATCATAGTCCCAACAAGCATTGCCTTCATCGGTGTGCTCACCCCGGGCAGAGTTGGAGAGAGCAGGAGTGGATGTCTCCTGCGTAGTTCCTGGCTCTCTGAAAAGTCAGTGTCTCTACCTGGGTTTAAATGGGCAGCTTGGCTGGCTCTTTGACAACAATGTCCAAGTCCAGCCAAGACTTATTGGGTTTCTCCACACTGTAGGTGGCTTGGCTGGCTTTGGGGCGTCAGGTTCAGCCAAGTCTTATCAGGGTTCCCCACACTTTTTCGGTGGCTCCTTGGACCAGCTATTGATTCTTGGCGATCCCAACTTCTTGGCTGGGCCCTAATGTCACACTTTATTTCTTCTCTAAAGTGGAGTTTCTTGTGTTTGTTTCTTTTGAGGTGGCTCAGCATCTTGCAAGGAAGTTCTATGGTGCTCTTATCAACGGAGATCAAGGGTTACAACTTACAGTATGGATTACAACTCAATGTAAAGAAGACCAAAATCCCCACAACTGACCCAATTGGTAAAATCCTGGTAAATGGACAAAGGGTTAAAGTTGTCAATAATTTCGTCTTGCTTGGATCCACCATCAATGCTCAGGGAAGCAGATCAAAGGACGCCCTGCATTAGAGAAATCTGCTGCACAAGACCTCTTGTTGAGTGCTGCAGAGCAAGGACATCACTTTGAGGACTCCTGAGAGCCTGACCCGGTCATGATCACTTCAATCGCCTCAGAGGCATGTGAAAGCTGGACATTGAATAAAAAGACCAGAGAAGATCAGTGCATTTGAATTATGCTAGAGAAGAATATTCAAAGTACTGGGGACTGCTAAAAGGACAAACCAATCTGTCATGGAAGAAGTACAGAGTGCTTCTTAGGGGCAAGGATGGCGAAACAACTTCTTATACTTTGGACATGTCAGAAGAGACCACTCTGCAGAAGGACATCTTGGTAGAGGGCCGGGAAAAAGAGGAAAGCCCTCAAGGAGATGGCCTGAACAACTGTGAGGGTGCCGCAAGACTGGGCAGTGTTTCGTTCTGTTGTAGAGCAGGTCATTATGGGTCGGA